CTCCTTTTACCCAGGCTGCTGCCTCCATACGTCAGGTACTTACCATCAGACGTGGGTAAATCGAGCTGACGCTAACAGTAAAATCAGAGATACATACGGTAAAATTGCAATGAAATCGTCGTCAAATACACGACAACGCACAATAACAGGTTTTTATTACGGCATTCAATTCCTATTATTATCGCCGGAACGTATCCATATATGCTGCTTATGTTCACTAACTCATAATTCAAGTTGCACAACAGGAACGAACCATATCAGGGAAACAGATTCTAAAGTACAAAAAAAATAATTCTAAGACATCTTTAATTGAAGTATCGCCAAATTTAGGAAGACCAAAATAGGATATAAATGTATTCCAGGACATCTAACATAATTTAGAATTAGTAGAATTAGTGCACCTAGTACATACTAAAATTGTTCAGAATATTTATAAATCTATTAGGAAACATTCTATTACAGAACTTTTTAAGGACATTGGATCAGAGAATACTAGTTCAAAATCTATATAGCGCAAAAAATACAAACAAAAATGCTGCTCTAGAAAATTTTATAGAACATTTGATGACTCATATGTCACAAAGTAAACAACACGTATTCCAGTATATTTTTAAGGCATCATTTTTTAACTTGGGGCAGTGTACATTTATGAGGCTCTGTTAGATATTTGATTGTAGGTTAAATTTTTATATTAGATTTACAATAAGATATTATAGATTAAAATTTTTTACTAAAAATTGATTCAGCATGCGCAGGATCAAGCTCCATAATTTAGATCACTTTTATAATATCAACTTCCCGAAAGAGAAGTTTATGTTTTCATAAAAAAAAAACGATTTGCTAATTTTATGTTTCCTCGACGTTTCAAGCCATTCTGAATCGAATGAGACCAAATTTTGAAAAAGTATATGTGTGTGTATGTATGTGTGTGTATGTGTGAACAGATTTTTTACCTTAAATCGACGTTTTCTCAAAAACGACTGGATTTCAAGAATTTAAAAGCCATTCGAGGTATATCGATGAGGACTATCGTTTCTCAGCTTTGCGCGACGATCGGCCGAGCCCTTTCTTAGAAATTAATAAAAAAGTAAAAAAAAATCGTGTACGTTTTGGCCAAAAATTCTGACTCGATTTTATAAATTTAAAAACTATTTGAAAGAAATTATTTGGGAATCGTGCTGATTATTTTTGTACAAAGTTTGGCTGAGCCGTTTCTTCGTAATTAACTGTTGAATTTTTTTTACTCTATTAAATTGTTGATAGGCGTCATGTTCCTAAAGAACATTCTAGGGTTTCAAAAAATTCAATTTAAATTCTTCTGGATTTACTCCATGGACCATGAAATAAAAAATATTTAAATTATGTGTGTACCTATTTAAAACTTTATATTTCCTCCAATAATGCTTATTATCCATGCTGAAATGTGGATATCGTTTAAACTTTTATATGCATAGCAAATAATAAAGTCCGAACAAAATCCTAAAGCAATTACAGGGCCGTTCTTGAAGTTTCTTGGTAAAGTCGAAGAGAATTATGTCAGCAAAGTCCGCGGAAACAGAAGTTTACAAATTTAATGTTCATTTCTAAAATGAGCTTGAACATGAAGCTCAATAGGTATGGAGAAGTCAAATAAACCTATATTTTGTCAAATTAGTAAAACTGGAAAACGTGCCCGAAAAAACTTGATATATATCTTCTATATAAAATTCTTCTACGCGGGTATATGATTTGCTACTTCTCCTAAACGGTTATTCGGATTTTGATAATTCTTTCTGGAGTTTGTCAAGGGAAATTTAATAAATACATTGTTACTACACTTTACTAAATATTTGACAAAAATTTAATGTTGGTACATTCAATAGTTTTTGAGATATTTGCGAGGTTGATAGGTGATGGCTGGCTGGGTTCTCAATACTAGTATTAAAACAGATTGTACGTTTTCAAAAATGCATAATTCGATTTTGATGAAACTTGACATACATTGTTACTACACTTTACTAAATATTTGACAAATAATTAAAGTTGAAACTTTCAATAGTTTTTGAGATATGCGAAGTTGATGGGTGCCTAGCTCCGCTCTCAATACTAGTATTGAAATAGATTGTACGTTTTCAAAAATGCATAATTCGATTTTGATGAAACTTAGCATACATTGTTACTGCACTTTACTGAATATTTGACAAAAATTTAAAGTTGAAACATTCAATATTTTAACCATAAATGAACCACAAAGGCAGGACATCAAATAGGATATTAAAAAGTATATATTAAAAAATGTGGAACTTTTGAATTATAGATGTGGGTATAGGACAACGTCTGTCGGGTCATCTAGTATATATATATCCAATGGTTCCTTTTATTTCTCGTTTAAGTATTCCATCAAGGCGAATTCCAATATTACACAAAAAACTGGTATTTTCATTCAAAGGAAAAGATCTAATAGTCGAGACGTGTGAGAGAGAAGAAAATCTAATAAAACTCAACCGGGCGTTGTGAAAAAATCGGAAAATGCGAGAAAAAGAATATACCTCCTAGATGTTATTAAAGACTTTGGATTTTCTCTTATTCGAGCAATTCGATTGAGATAGTTTACTTTTTCTCGTAATGAGATTTTTATTGCATTCGATGGATTTTTTCCAACTTGTGATTTTTCATGTCTCTAGTAAAAACGTTTTAAATAATTAGGTGGACTATTTTATTACATTCCTAATTTTAATAAACGATTTTTTTTTCTTTTCCAGATCCAGGAGCGGAGCAGAGCCTCTCTCAGCGATTAGCAGAGCTCCAGGTCCGCCTGCAATATTTGGAGGCGATGTACCGAGCTCGTCAGGAAGACGTCACGCTTTTGGCTCAACATTTAGGGCAGCAGAAGCTACTTTTAGCAGCTGCTGCCACCGGAGCAGGGGTAGTTGGTCCGACAGCTGAAGAAAATGCTTCTACTACTAATGGATTGCTGGATTCATTGAGCAGTAAGTGAAATTAAATATGTAATGTAATAATAAAACTAGTGGTGCATGGCATCGCGCCTTAAGGCAAATTGCTGGAACTTTCTGCACCGTAATTAAACATTCGAGGAATGAAAATAATTAATAAATGTTTTAAATAATTTCAAATTGATGGTTTTATTGTACAAATACAAACTGTAAATTTATAAAATTGCACGACGAGCGTATTCTGTAAACAACTTATGTGTATGTTTACAAGAAATTCGTTCATTTTTTTAAATTTGATTTTTTTGGCAATTTTGATATTTTTTTTTCAAAATCTTGAAAATTGTTGAAAAGTTCGAAATTTTTTGGAGTTTTCTGAAAAAACGTTTATTTTTTATTTTTTTTAAATTTGGAAATTTTTGAAAATATTGGATTTTTTTTTGAAAATTTCGAACTATTCTCAAATTTGTATAAGAAATCGTTTTTTTTTTTAAATTTTGTTATTTTATGTAAATTATGAAATTTTTCACAATTTAGATTTTTTTTGAAAATGATTTTGAAAATTGAGAATATTTGAATTTTTCGAATATTTTAATTTTTTTTGAAAATTTTGATTTTTTTTAAACTTTTCAAAATTAGGAAATTTTTTGTAATAGCATTTTTTGTACACTGTCTACATAAGCAAAATGTTTTTTGAATTAATCTAATCGGATGATCCGTTTTCTCAAAAACGGCATGACCATTTTTACATCCTTTGCGCTCCGAAACGGGTAAATGTGCCTTTTGCAAGTTTGTATCCGCACACACACACACACCCACATACATTAATTTTTTCTAAGGTATGCGAAAATGTTCAGAAACCTTTGAAACGTAAAGATATATAAAAATATTTCTTTTCGATTTTTTTGCGAATACTATAACTTATCCTACGGGAAGTTAATAATAATAATATATATTTGATTTGGTAGTGAAAGGTTTTCCAATCGACTTCAAGATAAATTTACTAATTGAAGAAAATCTTAATATTATTCATTCGATTTATTATCTTCCCGCAGGGGAAGTGGTTTATTTCATGTAAAAAATGAGTCATTCTGAATCGAATTCCTGAACTTCCACTTACACCTAGTTTAATTTTTTTAGTGCAAGAGGCTTGTAAAAGCATGATTTCAAGAAAAAGCATGTCTTAAATACGTTTAATATTCATTCACATTAATTGACTAGTATTAATTTAGTATTTGTTAAAAGCATTTGCATACGCGTACTTCTAATCCAGGTACCCAAAATATTATTGTTGTATTTATAATCCCAATTATAATGAGCCCTTTGTAAAACCGTGTTTAGTGCTGTAAATTAGCCCCTTTGTTATAAAATCTCCTAATAGATTAGAAGAAAGGAGCAGGGGAATTCCTTACAAAGGATCCTGAATTCAACAAAAGATTACTTCGGCACAATGAAGTCTGTAGAGAACAGACTTTAATTTTCTACTAGCCCACATTAACGTTTTATTAATGGACCGACTGGAAACGACAGCTTTGGGAAAATAAATTGTTTCACTTAGATTTACAAGAGTAAAATCATAGAACAAACTAGTTGGTATTGGTATTTTGCTTTGAGGCAAGTTACATGAACTTACCGATATGTGTAAATAATCGACTTAATCAATAAAAAATAAATTAATTTATGAGTGATTAGAATATTTCCGAGTACATTTATTACACACAATTGAAAACGAACGAACACGTCAACTCGGAGTATTTTCTAAAAGCAAATTTTCATAATTCTATAATTTTTTATAATTGAACCAGTTTCCGTAGGACTTTAATGGTTTAGTATGTTCATTAAGACCAAGTACTCTATCGTTATACCAAGTAAATCGTCTAATTTTAATTTTAACAAACGTCAAAAAACTACTCAAACTTTGATGAGTTTTTAAAATTAAACTACTTGACGTAAGACCGTAATAATTCAGTAAGTTCTATAAGACCATGATATATATCGCCAAAAAAAGTTCCATGAAAATCGGCAAAAAAATTTTTTTAACGGTTAATTACAAGAAACGGCTTGGTAGATTTTGATCCAAAACTAATCAGTATCATTCCCAACTAATATCTTTCAAACAGCTTTTGATTTTTTTAAATCGATTCGTTAGTATGAGCTTAAGTGTGGCCGAAATGTTTAACACTTTTTTTCAAATTACAAAGAAACGCAAAGCCGCACAAAACTGGCAAACGCTAGTCCTCCATCGAAAATACATTGAATGGCTTTTAAATTTTTGAAATCGGTTCAGCCGTTTTTGAGAAAACTTTCGGAAAGTTCATGCAACTTGCCTTAAGGCAAAATGCCTCTTGCAACTGATCCAAGTGGTTCTTTTTTATTTGACTTTCTTTTCTAATTTTTCATTTTCCTTTCAGACGAAGCAAGATCCTTACTCCGAAATATGACATTTCTTCGGCCCGGTTTCAATGTTTCTACAACTTTGAGGGTGCCAACGGCATATAATTTTTTGCCTCATCTTTTGGACGATGCTAACAGTTTGAGACCCGCTTTTTTACTCACAAAGGGCAGGACCGGAGTATCCGTAGCACTTGGTAAGTTGAAATATGATTACTATTAAAAATTTAAATAATAGAAGGATACCAAATTTTTACAGTTTATTTCACTGAATGAATGTATCTTTTATATAAAGTTCTTCTGTACGGGTGTATGATTTGATACTTCTCCTAATCGGTTATTCGGATTTTGATAATTCTTTTTAGAGTTCGTCAAAAAAATTTTTTAAGATTTAATGAACGATAAAACTATAGTTATATTGTAGAAATAAATGGCAAAAATCACAAAAAACACTTATCATTGTTTGACATTAAACACATTTGAACTGACATCTGCTAGAAATGTCAATTCACTTGAAATTCGAATTTAGCTGAAATTATGAGCCTAGATAATGTTAGAATGTAATATACAAGAAAAATGTAATGTCTACATTATTATTGTCGAAAATCAGCTGAGATGTGCCAGAAATTAAAGTAATATAAGATACAGTCTACAGTATATGTTTGGCAGATGAAACTATATAATTCAGTTTAATAAATATTGCAATAAGTACAAAATTGCATATACATTATTTTTTTAAACTTATGTCGCATTTTCGTTTTCTTTACTAAATTATTTAACAATATAAAAAAATATTTCTACTTATTAAAAAAATGATTAAAAATTTTGTTTCATGCGTCAAAAAATTTATTTGTTTGGCATTGGATATGGAATATTTAGCAAGTTGATCTTAGATTGAAGAGTGCACATATGAACTAGATTTTATAAATTAATTCACCTAAGATTTCAGCATAAACAATGATGTTTATTAAATGATTAGTAATAAAAATGTACCTTAGAAATTATAATAGCCAAAAAGCAATTATATATTCTACTAGTTTATGAAGATTATAGACTAAATTATTGAAGCAATTATGTTGTGTGGTAAAATCAAGTGTGATATTGTTCTTTTAGCGCAGATACTATAATATTTTTTTCTGAATTTCTTATACTGTTCATGCTAATGAACATGAAATGAATCAAAACCGGACATCAAATAAGACATTAAAAAGTATAGGATAGGATATCAAAGAATTTGGAACTTTTGAATTGTAGACGTGGGTACAGGACAACGTCTGTCTGGCCATCTAGTATATATATATATATATATATATATATATATAATATGTAATATATAATATGTGTATGTATTATATATTTCTGTATTTAACAAACCAGAACAATGTTCATGACAGCCGTACCTATCTCAAACGCCATTCTCTCCTAAATCACAGAAATGAAATTGAAAATGTACAAATGGCATAAATCTTCCAGTGTTCACCTACTAACGTGTTCATAATACGAAACTGGCATATATCATGATTTTGTTCCTTGCTTTCGGCGATTTTTCATATTTTCCATCTGAAAACGAATATAATAAGGCAGGAAAAAGCATTTTTTTCGTCGGAGAAACTATATCAAATATGGTGGAAAAATACAGTTGTGGAAAAACACAATTATGTCAAAAAATATTTTCACAAATTTATATTCAAGTATTATCATAATGATATAGATATGATTATAATTTATTTAAATTAATAAACAAGACAAGATTTAAGAAACTTAGTTTAAATAATAAATATAACTAGTGGTGCATGGCATCGAACCTTAAGGTAAATTGCTAAAAATTTCCGAACCGTAATTTAAAATTTTTAAAAGCTCAGAAAAGTAAAATTATTTTATTTTAGAATTTTGGTTTATTTTAACATTTTTGAAAATTTTAAAAACTTTAATATTAAAAAAATGTAACAATATCATGGTTTTTAAAAATGAAAAGACTTATTTTTAGAAATCTTGGCATTTTTTTGTAAATTTTGAAATTTCTTGAAAGGTTTTGATACCCATTCATGCCGGTTGATCCATCCTGTCGCAAATATCTTATATTCGACTGCCAAATGGTATTTTTTAAAAAAAAATTCTCTGGATCTCTTAAATCACTGGACCTACATTTGCAAAAAATTAATCAATTCTTCATTACGTCATCACAAGTGAAGTGTTTTTTGAGTTTGTTAAAAGTGATGCTCCGTTCTCTCAAAAACTTGATTGTGATTTTCTGCATTCTATCCTCCATATCTCCGAAACAGCTGGACCAACTTTTACCAAAAACTAATCATCATGTTTCCCTATCAGTAGAAATCGAATGTTTTTTAAATTATTCAAACCAGTTGATCAGTGTGCATAAAAAATTGTATTCATACATACAATCTTTTTTTTTTATTTATATATATATATATATATATATTTATATTTCTCAAATTTTATAAATTATCTGTCTATCCCTGCTTTAGGCTTTTGGTAATAAATAAAATACAATATGTTTGCCTACTCCTTTCCCTTAGGAAATGTATGGAAATTCATTTCGCAAAATCGTTTTGTTCCTACAAAAGAGAAAATATAATATTTCGGAAATATACACTTTCATGTAAATATAAACCCGTGGACATATTGAGCTATTGTGTTGTAAATCAGGAATAAAATAATTATACTAATTTGCAATGAAATTTTAAAAAAGTTAGAAGAAACAAATGACTTTGTTTCATCATTAGTTAAAATAAATATTAATACATCAATATTTTTTGTTATGCAATAAATTACACAGGTTCACAAAATAAAAAAAAATGTCTGTATTGGGTGTGTGGCGTTTATTTTCCAATGTAGTTTTTACCTTTTTACCGCGAAACACGAATTTTTTTTTATATTTTATTGAACACAAATCTAAAGTCAAAATTGCAGGGTCTAATGGCAAATTGAAAAAAAAACTTATAAAAATGACAAAATATTCGATCTAGTAATTCTTCTGCATAATAATCCAAATTTTGTAATTTCAGTCATTTTCTGGCCCTTTCTACCTTAACTGACTATTGAGTATTCAATTAAATCATCTGTTGATTTTTTTTGTATAATTCAGCAGTTGCTTATGATATTGGAAATGGCATGAATAGTTGTACTTGCTTATTTTATACAACAGTTTTCACAAACCTTAATCAATTATCAAAAATGTATATCATAAGTAATACATTGTCAACGTGATGTATTTCGTTCATTTTTGATTCGGAATGATTAAAAATATTATTTCACAAACCTTAAACTGGAACTTTTTTTAATTTGAACAAAATTTACCATTTAGAGATTAATTCTTGGATAAAATAGAACTAATGCTATGTTTCTATTCGTATGAGTTGGTACACAATAAAATCTAACCTCCAAAACGCACAAACGTCACATAACAATTTTATCATAAGTGCAACTTAGTGATGTCTCTTTGATAACACATACGTGAAGTTGGGTTTTACGTGTAAAACGTCTGATAGCACAGCAAATACATTTCTTGTTGACAATTTCTAAATACCAACTCATGTGAACATAGACCCATAACCCATTTACAACATTTTTATTTTTTCCGAGATTTGGCACCTGGGTATTAATACCATATTATTATAAAATTACCGACGAAAACATATTTTTGCCAACATATGATCAATAGTCTCCATATAATTCATAACAACAAATAAATCATACTTAAACTCCAAAAACGCCAACCGTAAAATTTATATATCACAAATCAAATAACACATGGGGCACTATTTATCTATCCTTCGCCATTTTTTCCGGCATGAAAATTCACATTTTCCAGTCATTCTTGAAGATTTAATACAAACATTAGAATCGCATAGTGCAGCCATAAAGTTCATAGACATTTCCACATTTTCGCGTTTTCACATTTTCACATTTTTCTTCGGAAGATGAAATATTGTCATCGGTCGACCATGAACGAATCGAGGAATTATGAGGGAAAAACATTCGTGAAAAATTGTTTCTTTCGGGAAAATTGATTTTTGTAACATGTACCAGAATATTTATATAAAGTAAAGTTTTTATTTTTTATTACCATCTAAATGGCTTATACAACACATAAGTTTTAATTGCTTGCCAAAACTAGTGTTATATGGCATTTCGTACACATAATTTTTTACATATTTTACATTTACATATTAAAAAAAATTTAAAGCTTTGAAAAAAATTGATTTTTGAGAATTTTCAAATTTTTATGATTTTTTTATTTTGAAATATTAAAAAAATTTTAAACTTTTTTCAAAGCAATCAATGGAAGCGCGAAAGCGCCGTGTCGCATTCTAACGGACGAAAATTGAACCCATAAAGACGTAAAAAAAATTGTACTAATTATTAAAATCTATAAAATATCTGATAATTTGATGTTCATATGTCTAATTGTCATTTTTGACCTCCAAATTTTTTTTCTTACTTTTTTTACTCGATCTCCGAAACCGTTGGTCTTGCCTTCTCAAAAATTTAGTCAGTTTTTCATTTTGTCAATATAAGTAAAATATTTTTTGAATTATTAAAAACGGACGCTCCGTTCTCTTGAAAACTGAGTTATCGTTTTTGGCCCTTCTTATCCCGTATCTTCGAAACGACTGGACCTGCCTTGTCCAAAAAACGAATCAGTTTGTCTCCATATCGATAGAAATCGGTTGACAAAAAATTATATCCATATACATACTACACAAACACACACACGCACACATCCATTTTCTCTAAGGTATGCCAAAATGTTCAGAAACCTCTGAAACATAAAGATATATAAAAAAATTTAAATTCGATTTTTCTTGCAATTACTATAACGCTCGCTACGGGAAGTTAATAAACTAGAGGTGCATGGCATTGTGCCTTAATTTGCTAGAACTTCCCGTACCAGAATTAAATATTTGAGGAAAATAATTAATCAATCAATATTGATCAATGATTAATTACAATTGTTTTAAATATTTTCAAAGACACAATTAATATTACAATAAATATTTGATCTTATCGCTCAAAATACTTGAAAATGTTTACATTAAAGAAAAGCCGAATGAATCCATCTGAGGATATATTTCTTACGAGTAAAATAACGCATATGAAATATATGCATTTTTTAACTGAATTGTAAATTTAAAATTTATGTATTTATATATATATATATATATATATATATTTA